AAAAAAAGTTAAGCAGCCAATATAATCTGCCCCGCTCGCAGAAGCACCATCCTCCTTATGTTGTTTTTTGGTAAACTTAGATACTTTCGATATACAACTGAAGTCTGTATATACCACAGGAGTGCTTAAAAAAATTTAAATAATTTCTGTTTAGCTTGCTCCCATATCACTTACACTTTGAGCAGACATGTTTTATTTATTTAGTCAATTTTAGTTCAAAATTGAATTGGGGGGCTTTTTGTTGTTTTTGCTGATTCATCTAATCTATTTGCTTGTTTTCGTCGCTTAGCCTTAAGAGACGCTCGAGATAAGCTCCAGACTGTATGTGTGTGCATATTACTAAAAATGATTCAACATTTATGAGCCACATAGAATTATAGCATGTATATATGTAGAAAAAATGAATTTGTTTTTTCCGTTTTTGGTTTTTGTTCTGCAAATGATTTGATTCTAATCTCTAACGTTTGCCGGGTATAAAAAGCCCCGTCGCTTGATGCTTTGCAAGTAGAACTTTCTTGGAAGCGCTGCATCAAATTCAACATATTTTCAAAATGAAATTATTCGTAAGTTCTCCTAAAGATCCTTGGATCGTAAATAAAAACTTATGAACTTTATTATTTAATTTGGTAGATCGTATTCTTAGCACTGATCGTAACAGTTCTGGCCGCACCCCAGCGCGGTGGATTCGATCCACAGGGATTCGGTCAAGGTGGTCGCGATCAAGGGGGATTCGGCCAAGGTGGTCACGGTCAACAAGGATTCGGACTAGGTGGTCGCGGTCAGCAAGGATTCGGTCCAGGTGATCGCGGTCAGCAAGGATTTGGACCAGGTGGTCGCGGTCAGCAAGGATTTGGACCAGGTGATCGCGGTCAGCAAGGATTTGGACCAGGTGGTCGCGGCCAGCAAGGATTTGGACCAGGTGGTCGCGGTCAGCAAGGATTTGGACCAGGTGGTCGCGGTCAGCAAGGATTTGGACCAGGTGATCGCGGTCAACAAGGATTCGGCCAAGGTGGTCGCGGTCAACAAGGATTTGGACCAGGTGGACGTGGCCAACAAGGCGGACACCAACATGGACGCCCTGGCTATTAAAATTAATAAACCTTATTGACTAAAATTTACCAAAATTTAAATATGTCTGGCTTGTTCTAGGGAACCAAACTCATAAACTCATAAACTATGTGCATGTGCAGACAGATGTTACGCATAATTAACATTCTCAACAGCCACACTGATATGGAATAAGTTAGTCTGCTCGTAAATTACGGGTGGACTTCTAGTGAACACTATCATCAGCATTGCTGACCCTAAAGTGTGTCGAAATGTTAACTCAGACTAACATATGTGACACGCATGGCATTCAAATATTGAAGAATTGGAAAGGGCCAGGCTAATCCATTTTTATGGTGTACAATCTTCAGTGGAAATGGAAACACAGGTCAAAATACGCATAGGGGCATTCCAGCATATTTAAGTGCATATGCTCAGTGCAGATAAGGCGACCCGCATAAGTATAGATAAGTGCGTGTTAGTTTTGGGTCTCGTTAAGTTGTTCAGGTATGCAGTTATGCAGTATGTACATACATATGTGATTACAGTGAGCTCGGCCGCTGAGGTCTTGGACTTTAAAAGACACGGAGAGTGCACTCTAGTGCTCATTGTTGGCAGAGTCTTCATCATGAAACTGTTGGTCAGTATAATATTTTCGCGGAGTGTATAGAGTATACTTCTAACAAAAGATTTATTTAAATTATATTTGATTATAGATAATATTATTTTCGTTACTTGCGGTTTTGGCCACTTCATTGGCAGCGCCGCAATATGGAGGACGCGGCGGCGGCGGATTCAATCGAGGTGGATACCACAAGCCGCAACAAAACTACCACCACAGCCCACATCACAGTCCACATCACCACAACCCACATCATAATCAGAAACATTATCCACATCATCGCCGCTTTTAATTGCAGCGTGGCCTTGCCTACATAGTGGACCAATATCAATGCTCAATAAACGGTATTACTAAAAATATTCAGTACTGTTTTAATGAAAACTTAGACAACTTACTGATTTTGCAAAGGAACCAAATATGTACACATATAATCTTTCATACACACATTTCTCTAATTCAATGATAAATCTGACTGCTGTCCTGCTCACGACCAGGATTCGTTGTAAATCAGCAAGCGAAGCTAGTTCATCGCTCATTGTGGCATTTTATTGTAGAGAGAGAGGAAAATTCTTATTTGATTTCTAAGTACACACACGAGACTCGTGATACGAGTATGTGCATGTGTTTGCTCTTGAGCACTTTGTTGGTGTCTGCTGATCCTAAAGGAAACTCTAAGCCCAATGGTTTATTTCAATTCGCAGGCAATGAAACCTCGCGCTCTTTATGTATGGTTTGCGTTTGC